CATTAGTTGTCGATGGATGTATGAAGTTAAACATAACTCGGATGACTCTATAGATTGATTCAAAGCAAGACTTATAGCAAAAGGTTTCTTGACAGTTTTGCTCCAGTAGCTAAACTTACAACCTTGCGGCTCTTACTTACATTGACATCTTCTAATAATTGGATTATCAAACAACTTGACGTCAACAATGTCTTTCTTCGCGTAGATCTACATGAGGAGGTATACATTAAACTTTCACCTAGTTTTTCTCACTACTATAAAAATGGTTAATAGTAACCGAAATTAGTAACCAAAAAATTCAGTCACTAATAGTAACTGAATCAGTGACTGATTTCCATTTTATATTTAGTGACTGATTTAGTGACTAAAATTTCAGTCACAGAAATCGGTCACTGATTCGGTCACCAAATCAGTCACTGATTCGGTTACTACTAGAAAAATGGTTAATAGTGATCGAAATTAGTGATCGAAAAATTCGAGTTACTAATAGTAATCGAATCGGTGATCGATTTATCTTTTTATATATAGTGACTCGATTTAGTGACTAAAATTTCAGTCACTAAACAAATAATATATAAATTAGTGACCATTTTTTATTTATATAAATAATTTTTAAAAATATTTTAATAATATATTAAATATAAATCTACTTAATAGTTTAAAATAATTGATAAAATTTTTAATAACATTATAAAAAATTAAAAAAATAGTTTATTAACTTATTAAATAATTTAGTAATATAATTATTTGATTTTATTTTTTAATTTAGTATGTGAATAAAAAAATTAAAATTAATTATTAAATTAGTCACTAGATTCGATCATTAAAATAATTATTAATTTAATCTCTTTTATATATATATATATATAATCAATTATTAAATTATTTATTAATTTAGTCTCTTTTTGATATATATATATATATATATATATATATATATATATATATATATATATTACTTTTATGTTAATAAAAATGTATTTCAATGTATTTATAAAAAAATTAAAAGTATTTTAATTATTGAATTGATATTTCAAATTTATATTAATATTTTAAATAATTTAGTAATTGGATACATATTTTAAGTTTATATTAGTATTTTTATAAAAGTGTAAAGATTAAGTGAACTTATTTTAAAATTTAATTAAACATAATAATATAATATACTATTAACCATAAATCTGTGAAGATTTACTTAGAAATTAATCTTAAGTTTTATCGTTTTTATTTAAAAAAATTGTTAAAAAAATCAAAATAATTAATTAAAATAAATAATTTAATTTAATAAATGTGTTAATATTATTAGTTATTGGAGAATTAAATTTATAATAATAATTATATTAAATTATAGAATTAATAAAATTTAAATTATTGATATTTTTTTAATCATGAAGCTAATTAAAATTTGATAATATTAATAAATTAAAATAAAAAAAATTATATATATATATATATATATATATATATCACTTTAATTATTTTAATTAAAAATAATTTCATAAAAAAACTAATATTTGAAAATAAAAATGAAAAAGTATATAGTTTTTCTTTTATTTAATTATATTTTTTATTTTTTACTTTTTGGGTTTTAGTCCATAACAACAATTTAGTTGCTCTAATTTCCACAAAAATATATAATTTCTCTTATTAACAATTTTTTTAATCAGATTAAGAAAATTATTACTAATAAGATTCAAAACTAGTACCTTAGAGTTAGATACTAATACTCAAACCACTAAACTGTTAGAATTTTTTAATAAAAAATTACAAATAAATTATATTTATATACAAATAAGTGTATATCCAGTGTAAATATATAAATACAAATATATTTATATATTTTGATATATTTATATATTTATATGTTCGATGTGAGGATCACGCTAGAGGGTGAAAGTGTGTGTCGAGTGAGTTTTCAAAATTTGATGTCAAATTTGTGAGCGAGTCTCTTTATATGAATTTGTAATTTAATAATAGAATATAATTTTTATAATTTATTTATATAATGATATAAAACAATTATTTTCTTTATTTATTTTTATTTTATTTTAATTTATTCTTTTTATCTTTTTTTCTATTATTTAATTAAAATTCTTATATTAAAATAATTTTTTCATTATTAAAAATAATTAAATATTTATTTTTTAAAATTATTTAATTTAACAAATTATTATGAATTAATCTATGTCTGGAAAAAATAATTATTAAAAGATGATTTTGATTAATTTATAATAATATATGTTAGGAAAAAATTGTTCAATTAATAATCATAATTAGATTAATTTATAATAATTTGTTAAATTAAATAATTTTAAAAAATAAATATTTAATTATTTTTAATAATGAAAAAATTATTTTAATATAAGAATTTTAATTAAATCATAGAAAAAAAGATAAAAAGAATAAATTAAAATAAAATAAAAATAAATAAAGAAAACAATTGTTTTATATCATTATATAAATAAATTATAAAGATTATATTCTATTATTAAATTACAAATTTATATAAAGAGACTTCGCTCACAAATTTGACATCAAATTTTAAAAATCCACTTGACACACTTTCAACCTCGAGCGCGCCCTCACATCCAACATATATATATATATATATATATATATATATATATATATATATATATATATATTTTATATTTATATATTTACACGGATATATATTTTTATTTGTATATAAATATAATTTATTTATAAACTTTTATCAAAAATTCCTAGTAGCTTAGTGGTTGGAGTAGCTGATCTCTAACTCTAAGATACTAGGTTTGAAAAATATAAAAAATAATAAAAACATATATAAAATAGAAAGGGGTTATAAAAAAATATCGGTCATCGAAAATAGTGACCGATTTGGGTTGGTTACTATTTCGGTCACTATTTTAGTTAGTGACTCGAAAATTCGGTCACTATTTGATGCTTTTGTTGTAGTGTCTAGTCCATAACCTAATCAAATGTGCAAGCTTCAACTCCTTAAACAGGTTGTGCGTCAATGGTATACGCAAAATGATCTAGTTTCTTAATCTCTCACAATTATAAATGTTTACTACTGACCAGTGGCGGATCTTCTTGGGAGCAGAGGGGGGCTGTGACCCCCCCCCCTCCCAAAGTTTTGTAACTCCCATGTAATTTATTATTTTGGTCCCCCCAAACTTAATGAACATTTAATATATTTACTTGTATATTACAATTTTATCTTCTCAGTCCCTCTTTAGTTTTGTAACTCTCATATAATTTATGATTTTGTTCCCTTCAAACTTAGTGATCATTTAATATATTTAAGTATATATCTACAATTTTATCCTTTCACCCTTTTATCTTCTTTCTTCTTTTTATATTTATTTATTATTTATTAATAATATATTATTTGTCCCCCCAAGATCAATTGTCAAGATCCGTCACTGCTATTGACCATTTGTTATTTTTGAAACATGATGATGGCTACACCACTACTTTACTCATTTATGTGGATGACATTGTTCTTGCGGGAAATAATGTTGGAGAAATTCAAATCATTAGAGGTCTCCTTCATCACCATTTTTGCATCAAAAATCTTGGAGACCTCACCTACTTTCTTGGGTTTGAAGTTGCACACAATTCAAGTGGAATACATCTTAACCAATGCAAATACACTCTTAACATGCTCCATGAAACTGGTGTGCTAGATAGCTTTCCCACTCTTACACCCATGGTCCACACCTCTCACCTATAGAATTTGTTGATTGTCTTTCTCTCTCTAAGAAAGAGGTGAAACATAATCAATTTAAATTCAAGATAACTATTCAAAATCTCAGTGAAAAATTATATTTATTATCTCATGTTTATTTTTTGTAAAAAAATACCACTAAAGATAATGGAGGGTTTCTAAAAATAACAAAAAAATTAAGTCAATTATTCAATTAAATGATATTGAACATGTTTTCCATCTCTTATTGAAAAATAAACAAACTATTTTAAAGATATCTTAATTTTCAATACATATTCTAACTTTTATTTTATTTCTAGATTTTCTTAAGAGTGATATGAACTAGATTTAAAAGAAACACTTTCCAAATATAAAAACACATTGCGCCCCATTTCTTTCAGTATTGTGAACATTAATTGGAGCTAAACTAAATTATGTAATTTAAAAATAATTAAGAACTGACCAGTTGTCAGTTGAAGCTTTGAAAGACAGTGTTCTAACCCTCCCACCATCCATTGAACGTATCCACTTGTTTCTTCAAACATAGTTAACAACTCAATTAAATTCCTCCTATCCCTTTCCACAACAAAATTCCATTTCTATTGTTGCTAAAAAAATAAAAGTGTAGAATTTGACATGATGGGAAATCAAACCGCACAGAAAATTCCTAAATAAAAATTTTAGACAAACTTAAAGAATACATGATAATTTGTGAAGAAGCTAATAATTGGGTATTGATTTCCATGTTGCTGACGAAACAAAACCAGCATTGTACTGTGCTGTCTCTGAATAAAAGTAATGATCATGGATCAGTTGCGATAACATCACAAAACCCTACATAATTAATTGGTTGGAGAAAAAAACATGAGGGAAAAAATAAACCACGTCCTTGTAAATTTCATTTATATGCTGCTATCTTGAACACATTAGATCAATATCAGAAGAAATATCCATGTTTTACGTTCTCGAAAATCTTTGTTGGAAATAATTGAAAAAGGAAAACAGGGTTTTAGTGATGTTATACAGTGCACTACCACTGTGGACAAAATTTGACGTTGGATAAGTTACGCAAATTGAATTCAGTTTTTTTTTTTTGTAACAGAACACGCTCTGCGACCCAGATATGAATCGTTGGCAACGCCAAGCTGGCTTACAGCCGAACCATTCACACGCCGCAATTCAGAAACAACTGGTTTGCACTTTCCTCTCGCTACTTCTTCTCCAGCCTTCGTTAAACTCACCACCATAAATGGCTTCACTCACAACACACACCTTCACACACCGCATACACACCACCACCGTCATCATGTATTCTGGTAATGCAACTGGGAGCAGCGGAGGCTCTTCCGGCACCGGCCGCTACCGCGGTGTGCGGCGTAGGAGCAACGGAAAATGGGTGTCTGAGATCCGTGAGCCGAAAAAGCCTAGCAGGATTTGGTTAGGCACATTCCCTACACCTGAAATGGCCGCAGTGGCTTATGACGTGGCAGCTTATGCTCTCAAGGGTAAGAATTTATCAAAGAAAATACATGTTTTTTCCCTCGTATATTTTTTCTCAATTTTAATTTTGGTATCTGTATATATATTCAAATTTATAAGCTCCAAAACCTTTATAAATTTATTTATTTTTAATTATCCAAGATAGTTATTAAATATTAAGTTTATATTTGAAACAAAATAAATTAAGAATTTGAATGTATAAAATCTAAAACCAAAGTTTTAAAGAAATATCAAAATCAAAAAACACATTTTCTTTTTTGAAGTAAAGATATTTTGATTTATTTCATTGTCCGTATCAGATATCCATATTTTAAAATACTTTAGAGATATGATATTTCCATATGAGGTCCATACACCTTTAAAAACTATTATTTTAAAATCCAATTGATGTTCGTAAAATATATCTATAATTTAGAAATATGTATAATTTAAAATAATAACGACATTGTTTATTAATTGAATTAACCAACACGTAATCTCTATTAAAGAATAAGACTTGTTATTTTTATTTGTAAACCAAAGTAATAGATTTATAATAATAATAATAATAATAATAATAATATTATTATTATTATTATTATTATTATTATAATTATTATTATAGTTTACTATAATTTTTATTTTGTTGTGGTTAATGTGAATATATCAATATCTGATATACATGAAGTATATGATATATATATATATATATATATATATATATATATATATATATATATATATATATATATATACATACATACATACATACAATTACTGTATCATATCTGATAACAGGTAAGGATGCTGAGCTCAACTTCCCTGACTCCGCTTATTCCCTTCCAGTCCCCGCTTCACTCTCGGCGCATGACATTCAGGTGGCGGCAGCCGCTGCAGCGGCGGCTGCTGGAGCCGCGAAGGATGCTATGCAGACGCCAACAGGGAATAATAACTTTTCTGGGGCACAAGAGAATCAAGCAGATATGAGTAACCAGTTTGTGGATGAGGATTTGATCTTTGACATGCCAAATGTTCTGGTCAATATGGCTCAGGGAATGCTGCTTAGTCCTCCCCCTTTTGACATTGGTGTGGAACCGAATAGCCCAGAAAACATCGAAAATGATGAAACAAGCCTGTGGAATTTCCCCTAAGCCAAATTCTAATTAAACGCTTTTATCTAATTTAGTATATAACTATAGATTAATGCTTTAAAAGGTAAAAAAAAAAAAAAAGGAAAAAAGAGTAGAAAGGTATCCTGTAATGAATTATATGGGCGAAGTCTCACATCAAACCTTTTGCTTGGCCATGACGAAATTAATGAAATGTGTGTTAAGAGTAGTTTTAATGTTTTAAAGTTGTCTTTTGGTTCAATTTTTTGTTCCCTTATGTATAGCTACAACTAGCACTCTCTACGTTAACCTAGAGGGGGTTTGCTTGCTCCTAGGTTGTTTTCTTTAAGTTTTTTTTTTCTTTATATATATGTGATTTGTGATGTGTTAAACAAACTTTTTGGCTATATATTTGGTCCTGGTTCTTAAAACTTTAAACCAAATGCTGTTTTAGTTAATAGTGACATGTTTAAATTAGTAGATTCATGAGGTGTGCCCTAGTGTTCTATTATTCCTTTGATTCCATACTGAAGTTCTTCACTGTGAACAGAACTTTGGATCTGATAAAAGTAATCAAAATGAGGCGAATAAAAAGAAAAACATTTATATCATTTGCGCTAGTGGAAAAGTTTATTATTACTACGTTGAATGTTGGGGTGTTTGGTTTCCTAATCATGTTCCAACCTACTTTGCCCTTGATATCACAAGAATGAAGGGTCAACTAACTTCTGTGTTCATTGCTACAAACGAATATATAGAGATGAAGTTTGTGGTCCACCGTACCCCTTGTTAATGTGTCACTCTCAACAAGTTTTGGAATAATAACACACATGGCGTTCCAACAGTGGAAAACAGATACCGATTGTGAATCTTAGAAACACAACTAAGAGATGGCTGAATTCCTCTATTTACAATTGAACATATAAAATGGAATGGAACTGTTAATTGACTCTTCAACTTCCTTTGATGGCAATTCTTTTCTCCCATGTCATGCATGAGTGTAAAATTGGCATAAAGTATTATAATGTTTGACTATAGGCCTGCGCGTGTTTTTTGGTCGAATCTAGACAATTCTGCAAATGGGTTCTTATTACCAGACAGTAGATACTGTGTATATCTTCTGTTTCAGTAAATCTTTCTGTACAGGCAAGACAGAAGAAATAAATTCCTTAATCCTATAAAATTAACACTAAAGTAAGGATCGTGTTTACGTATATGTTATGAATATTATAATATTATCCTATTATTAGTTAATGTAAAATTTTTCAATGTAATATCTTACGTTATAGAGGATTGTTTTATTAGACCTTCTCTGATTGAAAAGATTTTTTCACTGTTATTTTTCATATCGAGGATGAATATCAAATAATAACTGGTGATTTATTTTATAATCATTAACTAATAATGTCTCAAACTAGAGTTAACTTAATAACACGAAGATTACACTCATATGTATACTATATATTGTAATATAATAATATTTCTAGTCAATTTAAAATTTTTTAACCTAAATAATGTTTGATGAAAATATATAAGCTCATTTTAACATGTGAAAATTCAGTTCATTTTATTTGTATAATTATATATATATATATATATATATATATATATATATATTTTTTCCATACAAACATTTATATCCCCAAACTGTTTCCTTAATTACTTTAAAGGAAATAATTTTGTAAAAACATTCAAATCTATGTTATATTAAGAAACAAGCAATGAGACAAATTTTATAGAAAAGAAAAATAAAAGTTAGTTGACAAGTTTTTGAAAAAAAAAAAAAAAACTAAAGGATCTTTGCTTTCACTAGCTATTGATCGATCATTGGTTCAGGAAAACTCAGACACTGATAGCAATAGAAAATAAAAGATTAACAAAATGATTTATGACCACTGCAAAGGTTTTATTTCAAAGACACACATACACAATAAATATCCTTGTCATGATGCGTGGTCTAGTAATGTTTTATTGGTTTAGCAAATGTTTCTCTTATGATTTTTTTAATTAATAATATTAAATTTAATCACAGTTATTTAAAATTTCAAAAATATATAGAAAATTTTGTATATTATTTTAATCAATATACATCTATCCTATCATATAAAAGGAATTCTATTTCACTACAAGAAAAACATCAAATAGTGACCGAAAATTCGGTCACTAATTAAAATAGTGACCGAAATAGTGACCCTATCTCTTAATTATATTATATTTTGCTTATTTAAGTTTTTATTTATATTTATTTTCCCTATCTCTTAATTTTATTATATTTTTTAGAAGTTTAACTTATTATTAGGTGGTTTATTGTCATTGTCAGGATTCGAACCCGGTACCTTAGAGTTGGAGAGTTGAAACTCCAACCACTGAGCTACTAGGATCTTTTAATAATAACTTACAAATAAATTATATTTATATACAAATAAATGTATATCCAGTATAAATATATAAATATAAAATCTATAAATAAAAATATATTTATATATTTTAATATATAAAATCTACAAATAATGGTATATTAGTATAGTATAGTATATTTGTATTCTAATTTTTAATTAAATTAAAATTATGCTAATAATGTATATTAATATATGAGGGGATAATATTGATATATTTGTATATATATATATATATATATATATATATATATATATATATTTATATATATTTATATATTTATATATTGATATATTTATATATTAATATATTTATATTTTTATATTTTTATATTTTGATATATTTATATATTGATATATTTATATATTTATTTATATCCTTATACATTTATATCTTTATATATTTATATATTTGAAAAAAAATATTAAATTTTAAAAATAATATTATATTTTTAAAAATAAATATTAGAAAAAGATTTAAAAATATATATAAATTATATTTACATTTACAAAATATTAAAGATATATGTTTATATCTTTACATATTTATATATATTTATATGTTTATATTTTTACATATATTTATATCTTTCCATATTTATATATTTATATATAAAGATATTAGTTTTGTATACAAATAATATTATAATATAGTATATTATACTATTAGTATAGTATACAAATAATATGTTAGTATAGTATAGTATACAAATTATTAATTTTGTAATTTATATACAATGAAAATAATATAATGGTATATTGGTATAGTATATTTGTATTCTAATTTTTAAATAAACTAAAATTACGCTAAATGTATAATAATATATGAGAGGATAATAAATTTAATCCAATTACTTTTATAAATATAAAATCTATAAAATATTAAAAATGATATTATATTTTTAAAAACAAATATTAGAAAAAGGTTTAAAAACTAGTATTATCTTAAATTTATTAAAAGTATAATTAAATCTCTATTTTCTTAAAATTTTTTTAAACTTCTCAATTCTACATTTTTGTAAGTTCTATCATTATATTATCATCCTCATCTCCTCCCATGTTCTACTTTATCTTTACAATAGTCAATATTCTTAACTAATTTATAGTTTTAATTATAATTTTTTAGTATATATTTCGAAATTAATCAATTCTAATCTATTATTTGAAAAACTAATCAATTCTAATCAATAATTTAGAAAACTAATCGATTATAATTAATTATTTGAAAAAATTATCAAATATGATCGATCATTTCGAAAATATAATCGATCAGAATAAAATCTCGCTCGAGCGAGACTAGACTCGCTCAAGCGAAATACAACCCGAGAGTACCAATTACGTGCGAGGGCGTCTCGCTCGAGCGAAAAATTTATCGCTCAAGCGAGATACGATTTACATAGCGGTTACACAGGAACCGCTCTTAAAACCTCACTTAGATAGCGGTTAACCGTTGAACCGCTATTATATGGTTCCAATTATGATCGGTCAGAATGCAATTATGACCGATCATAACTATTTTAATCGATTAAATCTAGTTTCAATCGATTAAAAAAATTCTCGCACAACGTTTTAATCGATTAAAACTTATTTTTATCGGTTAAAATAACTTGAAAACTTATATTAACTATTTTTTTTATATTATGTTTTTAAATTTTCTATTAGAGAAAACCTTTCAGAATTCAAAATGTTAAATACTTTTAAATATTAAAATTAACTTTATCAAAAATTAGGAAAAAAAATTAATCCAAAACAGTTCAAAAATGTATTATAATATTGTCAATTTTGAGTTTAATTATATTGTTCATTCTCAAAGTAGAAAAACATATTGTAATTATTTTAATTTAATAAAATATAATTTAAAATTTTAATACTAAAATTAAAAGATTAAATAATAATAAATTTAATTCTTTAAATTCAGTAGTTAGAAACTAAAATTATAGTTTCTCTGTTTTAAATAATTAAAAAAAATATTAAAAAAAATCAAAACTAGTATTATCTGAAATTTATTAAAAGTGTAATTAAATATCTATTTTCTTAATTTTATTTGTTTCAAACTTCTCAATTCTACATTTTTGTAAGTTCTATCATTATATTATCATCCTCATCTCCTCCCATGTTCTACTTTATCTTTACAATAATCAATATTCTTAACTAATTTATAGTTTTAATTATAAATTTTTAGTATATATTTCAGAAATTAATCAATTCTAATCTATTATTTGAAAAACTAATCAATTCTAATCAATAATTTAGAAAACTAATCGATTATAATTAATTATTTGAAAAAATTATCAAATATGATCCATCATTTCAAAAATATAATCGATCAGAATAAAATCTCGCTCGAGCGAGACTAGACTCGCTCAAGCGAAATACAACCGAGAGTACCAATTCAGTGCGGGGCGTCTCGCTCGAGCGAAAAAGTTGTCGCTCAAGCGAGATACAGCTTAACATAGCGATTACACGAGAACCGCTCTTAAAACCTCACTTAGATAGCGGTTAACGTTGAACCGCTATTATATGGTTTCAATTATGATCGGTCAGAATGCAATTATGACCGATCATAACTATTTTAATCGATTAAATCTAGTTTCAATCGATTAAAAAATTTCTACACAGCGTTTTAATCGATTAAAACTTATTTTT